TCAGTTTAAAATATTTTATAGAAACTACTAATTTTATCTCATGGTGACTCAAATTCTGAAAACTATCTTAGAGATGCTGATCTGGAGTGAGCAGTGTATTGCGAATATACTGTCTACATTCACATTTATTTTTGGTAGAGGAATTTAATAAGCTCAACATGACGTATTCATTTATGACATATTAAAATGTCAAACAGGTTCAAAATGATTAAACTAAATACATATACATGTAAATTAATAATAACAAGAAAAAAGTTACATCAATAATTAATCAGAAAATGTCATCTGTTATGGTTATTTCTGATTATCTGGACTCAATTTCGACATTGTGTTGAAATTCGTTAAGTTAGCCAAACAAACGCATTTTACGGGATCACAAAATTGCCAATAAATCTGAAACATATTTTTGGAGGGACGGTTTGCGTACATTAAGAAAATGCGAAAATATATTATTAAAAACAATTTAAAACAAAACATTAATTAAGCATGAGGAAAAGTAGTTCGATGAAAATTACCTTAATTTTGATGAAGATTTAAAAATAAACAATATAGTACTTTTATATTAAGTTACAATGCATTTAATTTGACTAATTCTTTACTGAGTTTTAATAAAACTTTAAAATTGAAGATTCGTTTTTATGTACTTCAAATCCAAGCAGTTAGCACTAAATTTATATACTTGTTTTCTTTGATTTCTTTTCTACATTCCTAACGGGAAGACTGCAAACTCTATCTGTAAGTCTCGTAAACGTATAGACAGAGGAAAATGTTTGGTAAAAATACTGTTAGGATTTTTAAGGGTGCTTGAAAGAATAGCTGATCGGTAAAGATTGGCTTGTCGCCATAATTGCTACTGATTTGCATCACTAGGAAAAATCCAATGTGTTATGACTTCCTTCAGGTTTGTTCCTAGACCTCAGCAAAATTATGGAAAATAAATAAATAAATTTCAGAAATGTTAAATAGCCCTGTAATGCGATAAGGTAAACAGTTTTAAGGATTAGAGAAAGCCCTTTCAAGATGACAGCGTCAGTGATGATACAGGACGAAATAAAATGATATCAAGAAAGAAATAAAGAGCTTAGAAAATTAATCACCGTTAAAGATGAGTAAGTTAATCGAAGTCTGTGTATTTGTATAATGAAGTGAAAAAGTTATTTTTGTTTGATACTAATATCATTCAATTAATCCGAAATTTGTTTTAGATTTTCGCTAGAGATAAATTATGATTACGGATTTAAAAGGCGACAAAAATTCTAGAAAACGGGTTTATTAAGTCCCATTTTTTGGTATTTTCGTTGCCTTTTGTTATGCCGTAGATACACCGATAATTTAAAAGGTTTATTTTTTATGCGCATGTGGATTTAATTGTACACAGCCTAATTTAGGAACTATGAAAGGAGTTTTTTTGTAACACTTCTATATCTCCCGTTCTACTGGGCCGATTGACAAAATTCAAATTGCGTTTTTGATGTCTCGAAAGCGCGACTTAGGGTGTATATCAGATATATATATATATATATAGCATCATTCTTACGTAGGTATTTTTACAGTGACATGCCAATTTTTTTTCCATATTTCAATTCTGCGACTCAAATTATGCCAAACTGCCAACTTTTGTAAAAATCGCACGAGTAGTTTTTAAAAGCTTAGCTCTCAAACCTTTAGCTCCTCAGTGTTAATTGAATCTTGTATATATTTATTAATATCTGTTTTTTTTACTAAACTTATTTGATTCCTTCTTCCAGAATTCGAAATTTAGGCTTAATCCAAATATAATTCGCACATTTTTTATGATTTATTTTAAAAATTTGTATTTTAAAGTATTTTTTATGCCTTTTTCCAAAAAAATATTTTTATTATAACCGATAAAAGTTTTAACATCGTCTTTAAGTAGATGTATTTCTAGCCATAGTAAGCAAAAAATTAGAGCTTTTTAATTCAAAATTTTCTAAGATATGAGTTTACATAGTGGAGCGTTTTGAAATTGGGAAACTTGTTTTTGAGCGATAATAACGTCAAATGTGGTTTACGCACTTTGTTAAAATTATTTAAAGTATGAACGAGGACCTTTTTTTTCGCTCGCCTACAATGAAAATACGAAAAGGAATAAATAATAACGTCAAATGTAGTTTACGCACTTTGTTAAAATCATAAGAAAGTATGAACGATGACTCCCCCCCCCACCTGCAATAAAAAAAACAATAAATAAAAAATATGAAAGGTTTGAAATTTTAAATTACGTCCAAAGAGGCTTTTTTAAACATTTTGTCTGTTACCTTTATTTATTAAATATTACGTTCTTCGCACTTAAACCATCAAATTCAGTTCAAGAGTAATACCATCGCAAAATAGTTTTAAATTGAGCATAACTTTAGAATTTTTGATACAGAGTCTCGCACGCTGGAGATAAAAATGTTTTTTCTGTACAACGTTGCCATTGCTCGCTTTGAAATCCTCGAGTTTGTTAATCAAAAATTCGTTAAAGTTTTACAAAATATGAAATCGATAATAAAACAAATTCCAAATTTCAAACTTGGGCTTCCACATGCCCATATTCGCACTAGGATTACGTCATTTAAAATTCGATGGCTCTATGTACTGTTGTTATATCACAGTGCGAGAAATATACATACATTTATGCAGGTTTTTCATTATTAGTCCAAAGGGGCTTTCTCCCTGAAAGACTATTGCTTTCGTTTTGCGATTTTGCGTTTAATTACTATAAATGCCCGTTTCGTTTTTCAAACAGTTGCAACCAAATGTTAGAGTCTTGTATTATATTTGAAGAAATTAAATAATGAAAAATTTGCATAAATGTATGTCTGTTTCTCTTACCATCTTTGTTAAAGAAAATGAACAAATATGGGAACATGATTTACTAACACATTATTTTATGGAGAATAAATGTCTTAAACAAATCAGTTTAATCAGTTCATTATGCACTATTTAAAGTTGTTTATAAAAACCTACCCGATTTCCTCGTGAATTTTCTAAAGCAGAAAAAGATTGAATGCTACACAGTATATAATATTTTGAAGAACAGAAATAGCAATGCAGGCTCGAAAAACGGAAAGCTAAATTTGATGAAAAATGTCAAGAAACTAAATTGTTTTCATCATATGAATGTTCAATTTTATTTCTTTTAATGTTACTTATACCAGAACAATAAGTTAATCGCTTGAATAAACAAATTACATAAAAACGTATGCAAAGCCAAAAGTATTCTGAGATTTAAATTTTTATAATCCAGGAAATGAATCTGTAGAAAAGATAAATGTTATAACTAAAAACATATATGGACGTTAGACAGTTTTATCTTTATTTTGAATGGATTTTATGTTTTCAAACATATGAAAACAAAAAATCCATTCAAAATAAAACAAAGATAGATTCAATTCTGCCAGAGAAATAAATCAAGATCAAAATTGTTGTCATCTTTTACAAATGTCAGCATTCTGATTTTATCAGCAGTTTGATTTCTTCAATTTATAATTCATGTGGAAAAAAGTTTCCCTGCCTTATAAATTACATAATACGATGTGAGCAAAGTAAGTGCGAAATGTCGGCTTTTCGAGAATAAGTAATAAATTTTTGAGACGAGTGTATATAAATTTTCTTAAAAATTTCTAATGAATATTAACCTAAATAAGAGACTATTGTCTCAGATTAATAATATTACATAAAATATTTAAACATTTTAGATTTCCTTTCATCTGTGTATTTGTTTTTACAATTTTGTTATTTGTGTTTCATGTTTGATATTACTAAAAATAATATAGAAAAATTTACAACTAAAAACATTAGATCAATACTTTAGTGAATTATACAATCTAAGCAGATATTTTTTAATATTTAACTCTTTATTGTCTTCTAGAACAGAACTGTATAAATATATTCTTAAAACCCTGTAGGTTATGCAGCCAGGAGCAGAAGGGTGGTTTAAACCGTATCGATGTCATTACGAGTCAGCTTACGGTTCTACACAGATTTTGCAAAAAATTCTGAATTCTAAATTTCTAAATTTTTTTACACAGATGGAAATTTTGAATCTTCAAAATCTTGAAAAGGATTCAAGATACGAAAATTCGAATTTTTAAGTAATTTAAATCCCAAACATTTTAGTTCAAAATTTAGGTTTGCTGAATTCAGTGGAGCGTATTTTCTAAAAAGAACGCGAATGTTCAAGTTCAGTGAATGTGTAACGAATATCATTGCCTGGCGATCCTGATCGCCGCATTCTTAATTTCTGTAGAGAAAATTATGTGTTCCATGCTTGGAGGTTATCTACGTGAATTCTTAAGCCGATCCTATTCTTTCTGTATTTCCTTCGGTTTTAACAACTTCTTAGAAAAATATGTATATTTTAAAAATATTTTTCAAATTATACTAATCGATTGAATGTCAAATATTGAGCCTTTTACTTATATATTCATTCATTTACATTTTACTTATATCTTTTGAATAAATACAAGCCCTTTTTAAAAACAGTGCTCTTAAGTTGATTTTCCATCAATAAGCAATTCAAATTTTGCTTTAATTAAAGAATTTAATATTTAGTAAAATGCGCTTCCTTACTCTTTTATAAAAACTCGAAAGCTTGGAGATCCGATATTGTTTGAGAATCCGGTTTGAAGAAACGTTTGGAGTCACCAAATACCTAGTTCAAAATATTTTTAAATGAGGTATATTTGTGCAGTGTACAATACAAAACTGCAAAAGGTTAATTTTTCTCAGATGACTTTGCATTCTATTCTTCTAGATAATATTTCTCATCCGGCTTATCGATCAATAAATCTTTGCCATGTAATCGAGATAAATAAGTCATCATCCGCCTGAATATACAAAAATTGTTTCTTTCCAAGACAATTTGAAATAGATATATTTCGCAATTCCTTTTCATTTTAAACTATGTATCCTCCTTCTGTGTCATTATTCTGTCTCATGATACTACATATTTTTTCAAGACTAAGTTGTATTATAAAAGGACACTGCCAGGGTACGATATTCATTACGGTTTTAAAGTCGTGTATCTAAGAAATGGAGTTCTTCAGACGCAGTCTAGTTTTCCTCATGGCTTTGGCGATGGCAGTTTTGACTATCATTCATGCTGTTCCTGACCCTGAACCACAGCCCCAACCTGGTCTCTTAGATGGTCTCTTAGGGGGATAATAAATGCTGCTACAATGTACGGTAAGTATGCAATATTTTTAGGGATTTAAATAATTTCTCAATCATTGAACTGTAGAATTATTATTCTGCATCTGGCTAAATAAAAAAAACTAGAAAAAGGTCTTAAGTAAAACATTTAAAGGCAGACAAAAGCCTACATTATCAGCAAAAAGATAAGCAACAAATACAGCTTTTGATTAAAACTTTGGAAACTGATGAGAAGAAAAATGGAAACTTCTATTAATAGTTACATGTTTTTTCAAGTTTATCTGAAACTGAAAGTGTACTAGTAAAGAAAAATATAATGTGTTCGTAAATTCATTGAGCAATACACTGCACTAGCAGTAATTACAAGGGGGTTTAGAATGGGCTTTTACTTAGAGTGTTAGGAGTGAATAACTTCAAAACATGTAAATCAAGTAGAATCACTATTTCTTACATCATTTTATGTCCTGGTGGAGAAGCAGAAAATCACCATCAAACAAGTTATGCAATTTTAATTGTCGAAAGGTTGGCAAATGATGAATATGACGTAATCAGCATGTTCAGTAATCTGTGATTTAAGACACGATATCCCTGAACTGGAATATCGGGTTCCAGAACAATAAAATTTTCTGCAGAAATAGTGATTGCAAATGATCTTTGTTGCTTACTAAACTTTTATGCGTATCGGCAGCGACATGATTTGCGGGCACTAATGGGGTCGGCATGGCTTCATGATATGGCAGCCAAGACTACGAGCGGATCTTTATAAGTAATCCAGATGAAAAGCTTGCCTACCATTTTACCTATGCATGCTAAACTATTAATTGAAAACTTTGTGCAGATCTGTTCAACGGATCAAATGACTGTCCTCGACGGATCAGCAGTTTAAATTTTGTGTTAGTATTGTCCCATTGTCCTCTCCATTCATAAACCAATGTTTGGCGATTATAGTTTGACCACTGCAGTTTTCTCTCTTTGAAAGGTTCTTTTTCATTGATTAGCATTGAAAATTCTGAAAGTATGTTATTCAGCTCAATAGTTATATTTGTAGTTTTGCATCCTTCAGTTAGATCAAAATCCTCCATTATGTCCTTATTCATCTGTCATTCTACGATTATGATCACTTATGTTAGTGTTTCTAGGATGATTTTTTTCAAACAAAAATACGAGACCATAACGCACAAAATGTACCCCACAAAAAAGTGTACATTAAGTAAACGTTAAGTATACTCACAAGATGTATACGTTGAGTCAGATCATAGAAGAACTTTCCATAAGAGCTCAACAATTTGCCCTCTTTGAAACTAAATAGCATCGAACATAATTCGCTTGTATCTGAATGTCTAGAAAGCCGCAGTGTTGTCTTATTAGTTTGATAGTGATTTTTAAACTTATAATATACATACATATCTGTTTCATCAACTGCATTTAAGAATTTGTTATTTTATCCATTCATTTTATGGGTATTTCCAAACTGTTATCGAAACTGTGTATTTAAAGATAGAGGTCTAATGCTTTTGGTATTAAATTATTTCTTTGAATTAGTTTAATTTACTCATTTGGAGTCAATTTCATAATTTAAAGAAACTTTACAGATAAGTATGAAAGGTTTTACTTCGCAAAGAAGTGTACAAAATATATACTGGGACATTCCTATTTTAAATTTCACTTTACGAAATAATGGAATAGGTTCTCGAATAAAGTGACAGTGTATTTTAAACTTCCTTTACCTTTTATTTAAATGTTATGTGCGTACGTTTGTGAGTATTAGCATGTTTCCTTCGTCTCTCAGGGAGGTTTTCAGAATGCTACACATGAGGAGGTCATTGTTATAAAAGTTTCAAGCACAGCATAAATGCAGCAATATCTTATGCGGAAGCCAAACTAATATTGTTGGTTAGAGGCTAGAAATTAAGTCCGTTTGTGTAAGATTTTAGTTCTGTTCACTTCACTAAATTTCAATATAAGGAAATACCTTTTACTAAGATGTGTATTTGGAAAATCGTGTTGAGCTGTAAGAGCTATTCGATTTTCATATAGAAGATATAAACAAGACAGCATAAATATGACTGTATGAGCATCATGACTATTACTTTAAAGATTATTTGAAAAGGATAGAGCGATCAGGTATTTATCGGAAGAGGAAACACGGAAAATTAGGGATAGTTTTTCCGGAATTTGAACTACCTAGGATAGTTACGGACTGCAATTAAGTTAGTTTTTGTTCACCATTATACCGTTCACGGGCACAAATATTATGAGCTTCACTAAATTTCGTTATAAGGAAATACGTTTTAAGTAGAAACGTATTTAGAAAAAAGTGTTGTATTGCATGCAGTTAATAATAAATAAGGCAGCAGTAATGGGACTGTATGAGCATAATGACTCTTACTTTAAAGATTATTTGCAAAAGCGTAGAAAGATCAGGTATTTATCGGGAGACGAAAAGCGATAGTACACCGATGTTTTTCCTCGGGATTCCAGCTCGGGGCATTCCGATTGCTAGAGAGAAGTTACACCACAAAAGTTAGGAAGTGGGGAAGGAAAAAGCGTTATACATTAAAATTGTTTTCCGGAGTAGCTGCCAGACTAGGAAGATATCTGAACAAACGTGTAAGAAGTATGGAATAGAAAATTCTTAGTATTAATAAGAACAGAAAAATTACAACTAATAGAGGTTTTATTGAACACATCGTTTCCATACGTAAGTAGATTTATTAAGGTATTCATTTAAAGAACATATTTCTATTAATATCAAATGGATCATGAAAGAAAGCAGACTTGTTTTCTATTTAAGTGACAAGGATATTTTAAATACTTGTACAAGAAGGATGTAAATGATTGTTTCTAAATTGCTTGAAGATTCTGTATAAAACATATGTTATGCTATTGCTAAATTGCGCCTAATAGTAATAATAATAATAATAATAATAATAATAACAATCATAATTAAACTGAATGAAATGATTCAGATTTTATCAGTCATCTAGAAGGGCTCGTTTAAAAAAGTAATATGGCTGAGTAGAGATTATCAATAGAAATGAGCCATGTGGAATAACGAAACATTTATAATATACTAAATGAATATACATTTAGACTAACACGAGGACGATATATATCTCCTGCATATTTCAAAAGTGAAAAAATATATAACGTAATTCTGTAAAAGTTTTCAGTGTCTTTATTAGATATATTATGAATTAAATGAATTTTTTTATTTAAATATATCAGATTACAAGTTAAAAAAATAGGAACTCCGTCTATTGCTATTAAACAGCCTAATTCATAAATAACATACAGAGAATATTTAAAAGACAAATAACTTACACTTTGTCCAAATATGAGGTATCTAAATATGAGGACTCAAAATAAAAGTGAAATAACGCATATGGATATAAATTATCGCAAAATGTGTTTGAACGTCGATAACCTTGAGGCTTAAAGAAAGATTTGGGGCTTTATTACTTTTTTTTATCTTTCCAAAGAAATATGATAATAAAAAAATAAAAACAAATCTTCCATTTAGTTGACGATCTTATACAGCGAGTGAATTTCTATTTTAAATATATATTTTCCAATTTGCAGATTATTTTCCAGTTTTCAGGATCGAAACGCCATCAAGTATCAAGCTGTAGTAAGAAATAAAGAAATTTATGATTATTTATAAGCAAACATATGTATTTTTTATCTATGCGAATATGAAAAATTTAATGAACAAGAGAAAGATATTGAGTGGTTACTATTTATACATAAGATTTTTTTCCATTTGGTATATTTTCTCTGAAAACTTAGAGACTGTTTATAATTTGCTTATTCTTCTCTTAAATAAACAAAACTATTTAATAATTAATTAAATATGATAAAGAAATGCCAATCTTTAAAATTATTGTTTAACTGTCAATATATTTGAATTACAGAATATAACCAATAAAAATTTTCAAAGATACCAAACTTCAGATTTCAGATAGAAAAATATATATTTAAATGCTTTCAGATTTCCCTGTTATTAGTATTGTTCATATTATTATTGTATTTTGTTAATAATATTTTTTATTTTTTAAAAATGGTATGGAATTTCTAGCCCCCTAGCACTTTTAGCTTTAATTTTTCTAGGACTTTTGAGATCGTGAATTCGAACCCTATGCAATTGGATATTTAAGAGCACTGCTTGAGACAAATATGTTTAAACAATCTGCAATACCGTCTGGATCCATCATATTATACTTCAGTTATAGTCTCAAATTCACAGGTTATGAGGCTAAGAATTTGAAAATATTTGTCGAGTTGCGTGACTTCTGCTTTTCGGTCAATAATATTTAAATTCACTCATAAATATTAGTTACTTCATTATAACTTCTTGTACTTGAAATGATTTATATTAATTACTTAATCTTTTTCCTTCTAGGATGTGGAAAGTTAGAAGATGTCTGAATACACTTCTCCTGCATATATGTTGCTATAGAAATTAGAGAAAAATTTTAAAATCTTCGGAAATTTGTATATTAACCAAAATATTGTTATGTGCTTCCTATTTGATATATATTTCGAAAATGTGCAATAATAAAATATTTCTGGAAGATTCGTATAAAAGTTTTCGTTTCATTTTCCTATCAAACATATGCAATAGAATTTCTATCTATCATTTCCGTAATGATTTTTTTCCCGTATATAATTTTCTCTGTGTTTTCGTCTCGAATTAATTTCCATATATATAACATTGAATACACATATACATTGAATTTCAATTCATATTTTAGGTTATTTGAAGTCCTGCAATCTTTTTAGATTTATTTTCAATCATAAAAGGTGCAACTATTATGTTTTAAATAAATAAGTTTGTTTTAAACTTTTTCTGAGTTTGCAGCAGTATAAACGTGGCGATAAGACAACTGGCAGGCTCAGTAGGAAACAAATGATTGGAATGCTGCAAATATGCTAGATTAATTAATGTGCATGAATTTAGGTTATTACAAGCGTCTATTACGCAATTACATGTTATTTATTAGAGCACACAATAATTATTTAGTACATTAATGCAAATGTGAATTAAAACAATACCCAAAATATTTACAAAATATAATAATGCTACTGAATTGATATTATTATTTATTATTATATGATGTTTCAAACTGAATAGAATAGTTGCTTAAGACCTGAAGTTATAGTACAGTTTCAAGCGGTAATATTCAAGAAATTCAAAATTTTAATAATGAGTTAACAAGTTAATGAGTTAACAAGAGTTAGGTTTTTCACAATGCGTTTTTACTATTTTTAAAATGATGTCTGTCTGCCCGTGTGTCTGTGTGCATGTGTGGGACGAAATATTTGCCGATAGTAACTCTTATATGAAACTTCCAAAAATTCCTTTTTTCCGTATTTAAGCTTCCTACATTCTAAAGAGTTGATTAGATTTTGGGTAAAAGTGGACTACGGTATGTCGTACTTTACTTAAAAGTCATAACGGTCTGTTTTCAATAGCTTGACTTGGATGCAAAGAATCTCGTATTAATTTGATACTTAGCTAATGGGAAAAAGAAAATTACCTGTTTTTTATTCCCGCCAACCTATGTACATTGGTAAGAGAAAATGGTTTTAATCCAAAAATTCCACAGTAAGTTTTGAACGAATAAGCACGAATGAGCGCGAATGCTACGAATAAGAACAAATTACCACAATACGTTTTTACTGTTTTTGAAATGATGTCTGTCTGTCTGCGTGTCTGTGTGTGACTAATTTTGTTCTCGCTAACTCTTACGCAAAACATTCAAAAATTTATTTTATATGTTTAGGTTTGCAGTATGCATATGTAACTTTGATGATATAGTAGATTTATAGAAAGCTAATTAGAAAACTGGACACTATAAAGTGGTAGTTCACTGAAAGTCCTTAATAAACTTTAATGGGCAACAGGAGGTACTAATTTTCTTGAAACTCATAGCAGTTTTTAATGAAAATCTATATTAAAATATAATTCTAAACTTTCCGTTATAGTAATGCCCGGTTATACGTATGAGATTCATAACTAGATTTAGGCTAAACTGACAAACGTGAAGAGATAGTTTATTTGAAGCTATGAGCAGACTTATACTCTTAAGAAAATATAATATGAGATAATCTAAAATTTCTCAAATGTTGACAACATATTTCATTTATAAGCATCAAATGCATTCTTGGATTATGCTAAATGCTGTGAGAATTATGAAGATAAGCTATCGTTATGAAGCAACTAAATGTATTTACAACCATCCTCAGTTTTATGTTCGTTTCATTTTTGTGTCGAATCTCGTTTCAAACAAAAGTAAACGGCCATCAAATGTTATCGCTATGCACTCTTGTTAAAGAAATATATAGCAAGTATAAATGATTGAACATGAAAATGAGTATGTGAAAAAAACCTATTTTGGGAATTATAAAATTATGTTGCATTTAAAAGTGTTATGCTTATTAAATTGTTCACTTATGAATCCAAAACACAACATTTTCTAATCCAAGGATAAGAAGTGATGTGTACATGAACACATATATTTATCGTTATTTGTTATATGGGGGAAAAGAGTAATAAAAAATTAGTAGTGTTTATAATTAATGCTGAGCCCCAAAACTTAACATTTTATATTAAATATACCCACGTCGCCTTTTATGTTTGAAATATTTTTATGTAAATATCATTTTAAAAACACACATCGCAAAACACAAACTAACAACACAAAGCTTTTAGAAAGCTCAAATAAAGAACGCGAAGAAAGACTAATGCGTGAACCTGCAGGTAATGATTTTTTTTGCTTTATTACTTTTAAGTGGAAAAAGAAAACTTGCCGCTTGGGTAACACATCATGAAGTGCTGTATTTTAACTCCTGTGTAGACTGAAATCCTAAATTCTTTTTTACTACTCTGGATCATTCCGCCAAAGTTTATAAACTACAAAATCAGCTAGATCAAATCCTCGTAACTCACAATCAGCTGGGATTCTTCTCTTGAATATAACTCCAATTTACATTTGCCTATTTCTACAGTTGTCTGAATGTGTGTTAGCCTATTTGCTACAACCGTTTTCCATCGGCTCTGTTCATACATTAGCTAAGACAATATATGAATCAAATTATGCATGTATAAGCTGAACTTCCACCTGTATTGCACTTCTCATTGCTTTTGTAAAGGGAACTATAAAAACAATAGCACAGTTCAATAGTGGATCAAAATTGGTTTAACAGGAGCGACTCGAGGTTTTGCTACCAATAGTTTTACACAAATAGCAGAGTGATTAACTGACCTAATATAGATTACTCTACCATAACCTTTCACCGAAGTATCATCGAAACCATGCAGTTGAATCTTCAAAGATTCATATAACAGCACATTTCCAGGAATGCGAATTGAATTTAAGCGTTGAATTGTTTTACGAATAGGTCTTCAACCTGTCGCCATGTCTTTCGAAGCTGTATCATCCCAGGCAAGTTTAAATTTGGTTTCTTTTGGTTTTGGGCCAACTCTTAACGTGTGATTAAGTGAACACCTGATGATGATTTTGCATCTAACATTACTCCGAGATTTGTCGTTAAGTTTGACTATGCGAATGTTGAATATGAACCTCCATAACCTTCCTTCTGTTATAAGAGGCTATGAATCTGATATAATCTCTAATTTCCAAGATGACCTAGCTAATGTTTTAGTATTAAACCTTATGTGGTTTACCAACAGTGGATTACAGTGCTTAGGCATCTCAAAAACCCCTGCACAATTCAAATTAATTCGGAACTCACCCCAAAAGATTTAATTCCTATCAAGCTTAATAATGTTTCCAATTATTTAAATAATAATGTAATAATAATTTAATAACGTTTCCACATTCGTTAAAAACATTTAAAAACACATTCGCACCTAATAAAATGTCAGCTCTGCTTAGTTTATAAAATGATTGGCGGTTTTTTACTGTAAAAAAAGGTAATTCGATGAATTTTCGTATTGCAGCTAAAATATGTTTACCTAAAGATCTGTTATGCGCATGATTGTCACAGTTTATTAATTTTTACTAAGGTGGCTGTGATAATACATGAATTACTATGAATTGTATTCTGGCCTTTTTAATCTTTCTGTGTGCAGCAACACAGTGATGAAGTTTCCCACAATACTTACGTATGTGCATACGTTTACAATTTTCCGTGCAATGTGTGTTTGAAATGCAATTGAAATATTATTATTACCTTTGATATATTCAGTTCACTTCTGCTTGTCCAATTGAAAGAATGTCGCTCACTTTAGAAAAATGTGATCTCCTTGACAGTAGGTATATTTAATGTTTGCTATAACCGCATTTACTTTACTATTATTATTGTCATATTTGTCATATTCCTGTCCATAAACTATTTTTTTACATTGTCCTTCCGTAATGTCTTAAAAACTCAGCCAGTTCACTTAATTTTGGGGATTTCTATTTTTCTAACGGTCCTTTCCACCAGGTTTCATTCGCAAAATATCATCTATTACATTTTAGTTCGAGGACCAATGAAATATCATTTAGAAAATTCTTTTTCACTATTAAGGAAACGCGAGAATTCAGCGATGCTCTTGCTGTGGCTCGAACTCCTAGCCTCTTGATTGCTAGCCGTACGTGTCTCCAATTAGACCACAAAGTACGCAGAAAAAAATGGAGGATAAAGTACTTTAAAAGAAGAAAATTTGAATCAAATTTTGGTTTTAAAATTTAAAACTATTTATACAGAGAAAACTTTTAATTTCTGTATTCTTCATAATTTCTTAAACATAGTGCAACTGCATTCCAATATTCCTCGTTTGGATTACTAAGGTTATTTTAAAGCTTGATAAATTTTTTTGAAATCTAAAATATTTTGTTGTTCCGAAAGCAGCGTATGGATTAAAGTGCGCTGTAATGGATCTCGGTGTTTTTCGGTATTGATTTATATTCTGTTTCTGGTTACTATAAGAACAATATCTTGGGTTAAACTAGTGAAAAGTGTAATTGGTTAGCTAGATAATTATGCTCATAATTTATTACATATATAATGAAGATTTAAGCAAGTTCCCTTCATGATGGTGTCTTTGGAAAACAGCTAAGCTCGAGATCTCTGCCTTAGTAAAATAATTGATCAGTCAAGTTTTAGTCCATTTAGAGTATTACACAGAAACGAACCCAGTAATAAATGCGCAAATAAAGTCTTCTTTCATATGCCATTATTAGTGGAAATATGCAGAAGCAAGTATCCTTAGTTCCATATGACAGTCTTTCGGTACCCAAAAGTTTAAAAAAAATACTTAGTGTCTAGTTTTCCCCTCTATACTAGAACTGCAGTTATTCCTTCGATTTATCGCAAAATCTGCTAATTGTTTTAACGTGAAATTAATTGGTAGCAGTAAAAAAGGATTTACATTGTAACTTTGAAAACACTGTGTTCTTTAATTAACATTACAAAATCTTCCCATTTTGGCACGTTAGATCTATGAAATCTGTGTATATTAAAAAGCGCGATTTTTCCTTTAAACACGTTACATATAAGGCGCTTTTGCTCAAAGAAAGAATCAATATTGTTAGCCAATTAGTGAATGCGTTGTTGAGGTTTGTGTATTGA